ATTAGATCGATTGCTACCGCCGGTAATCTGTATGAAATGATATCGAAGTTCCACAACGCTTCATTGTCCCCAATACATTCCAAAATATTTCAGTAGTTAACAAACTTCACAACTTTACCTTTTGCTCCCGTTGGCATGGTTGCCAGTACAAGCTTAGGATAAGCAACATTGGAGCAACCGACGGTTGAACCACAATATTTCATACATTCTTCTGGTAGTACACATGCAACTGCATCTAAATTAATATGGTGTTGTCTTATTTAATTTTAACGTAATGATTCAACTCCATAATCTATTTGAGGTATATATCTGTTTTTGTAGTTAAGTAAATGTAACGCAACTAATATACTCGAAATAAAGCAAGTAATAGGGGCTGGCTAAAAGTTTGTCAACGCACTAACCATCAACTAGTACGAGGCCTAAGAATAATGTTAAGCTACCAAGTTACAGTATAACAGTAACGTGAGAGTGGGATGTACCAGACATTAGATAGGGTCTGTAACAGGGACTGCTTATGTCATTGACATAGGCTATGTGAGGCAAATAACGTAAGTTTTGTCGACCAAGCAATGGTTGTTAACACATTAATAATATCGTGCCGCATTGCCACAGACCAATAACTTCACTTACCAGTTAATACGATTCTGCTGACCATTCCAACCATTACAATTGTATACATTGGCATTATTTTAATAAACCCTGCCAAAACACAACCTCCTTTTGCATGTGACAAGTTCTTTGCTGCCAACGTTCTTTGAACAATGACCTGGAATGGAATATTGGTGCATTAGAGATAACACTAGTGAGAATTTTATGAAATAAACTAAAATTGCATGTACTCTACATACTAATTTACAAACACCGACTCGAAGCATCGAATGAATAAATATTGTTAGCGTAGGTTGTTAGTACAAACCAAGGTGATATGTTTTCAAGGAGTCGAACCATGAAATAATTTTTACATTTCATGTCGAATATTAACATAATTATGTTGCAATGAAATATTATTATTGCTTAGAATGGAGTGCAAATGGCACTAAAGAATTGTATGCTATTTTCACGTAGATCACAAAATCTCAAATATTATCCTGAACACAGACCTGATCTGTGCACCAGTACCACGTAGCTAATATTGTTAAACCGAAAGTTAGTCCAGGCCAAGGAAGATCTCCAGTAACTGGATCTCTAAAAACGCTGAAAGAATCCTCCCTCGGTTCACCGCATGTTGTGTTTGCTGGCCTCAATCTTGGTACTGCTTGCATGTATTTTGTTTCCAGTTGATCATATCCCCCAATGCTTTCAAACGCTGATAGAGAAGAAATTTTGCGAATAAAAAATATTGGAGGCTCAATCTAGCATTTGTGTTATGACAACTCAATAAAATACATGTAGATAATTATAAAATACTTACACAATGCCATCATGATTACTGATCCAATAGTTATGATTAAAGTTTGAGCAGTGTCTGTATATATGACAGCAGCTAATCCTCCAGTCACTGTATATAATCCAGTGATCAACAGAAGGAGAACCATAGATAAATAAATATTCCATCCAAGAGCTTCTTGAATAAAGATTGCTCCGGAATATAAGTCGGCCTAAAGTGAATGAATGAAATATTTAATTATCTGTTGTTAAAATAAATTAAAATAATTATATCCCTCAAAAATATGAAAAGGGTAATTGCGCATTTTAATACCCTTCATGTTCAATACGAACAATATGGGCAAAATTGAGAAATTTGATTACGGATCAGAAGGATTAACTTCATACGAAGAAAGAAGGACAATAGAAAATATATAAATCTAGATTTACTGTAGACAGACTGCATCCTTAAAAATAGTCTTACAAAACAAAAATGCTCTTTATTCAATTCCAAATTACTTCTTGTTCTTTGTAAATGTATTTTTTGTTTTCATGAATTTGTTATATATATCTTACCGATACTTTCGTTAGAATATAAAGCAACATCGACAACACTGATAAATACACTTGAATTCTTTGGCCTCCAAATCTTGCCTCAAGATATTCGGGCATTGTGACGACTCCAGCAGCAATATAAACTGGAGCAAATATCCAACCCAAGAAGAAGAGTGTAAGCATAGCCTGGTAAAAATTTTAATCCAAGTTCATTATTCAATCACTGGTGACATTGACCTTGCTCCATTTTGAGAAAATTGAGTCAAAATTTTTGAAAATATTTTATAAAATGCTTGAATACCCCCAAAAAATGTGGCAAAAAGACAACAAACACGTAATCTGTGCCTTTGGCCTTGTCTAGTCTAAGTTGTCCAAACGCAAACGTATATGATGATGAACTGCGCCAATTTAGAGCAGTGTCGTAGAAAGTTATTTTTTTTTATATTAAATAGGAATTGGGAACTTTGACTTGCATGAGGACCCTCAAATATAGGCGACATGCATGCCATCGACGCCCAAAACCTAAATATTTTAGGTACATATAGCGTAATATTAGCATCCGGCAAACGCCACAATGAGCTGATTGACTGAAGCAGCGCGTGGAAAGTTAAAACGTCGTGCATATACTTCTAAATAAAAATTCGCAAATATTTAATCTGTTCTTTCATCTCTGTAAACTTTTCATTCTAATGATTACGGAATTTACCGAGAATCGAAAAAATTATGTTAAGTTATACTAATAATGTTATACTCGAAAGAAGGGATTGTGTTTACTGGGTAACTTATATTTAAAAACTGAAATTTCAACAAAAGGATTCACATTCCATTCGAATGCACCGACTGCAATTCCGCCGACCACTCCTGTTCCAGCCAATCCAACGAAACTACCACTTCCAATATTGCTGCTGAAAAGAGATGCTCCGACAGGAAACCAGGTTATGTGTCTTCCAGCGAGAAAGAATCCGTCAACGTTTCCACGATTCGTGCTGCACATCGCCTGCGAGCAGAAGTTTAATATTCAGGTATGTTATTATATAGTCAATTATGAATCTAAGTTTGATGTGTTGTTCACGCGCTTCTGTGCCTTGTTAAAATTATTCATACTCTTTAATTTACTTGGCACAATACGCAAAGCTATATTATATTTTATGATTGCCGATATAAATTAAGGAGAGATTAAGGCCGTAAAATGAAAATATCTTAAAACTTTACCAGATTTATTCATAACAATCAAAGTTCAACTATTACCCACCCATATCCCAACAGCTAATATGAATGCGAAATAGACACCGATAACAACGAAATCCCATGTTTCTAAATTTGCATCTGGCAGGAGTGCTGCCGTCGTCTGGTCCGAGTAACTTGCTGTCGACATTGAAGCCATTTGTACAGTATATTAAAGCTTTATCTGAAATTAGCATTTAATAATCACTCAAAACAAGGGTTTATTGTAGGTTTATATTCTAAATGTAGTCAATATACTAAAACTGAGTAAAGGTCACGGTCATCTAAACTGAACATCATACCAAACATGTTTCTGTTTTTATTTATTTGCTCAACCCATAGTTTCTCCAATTTAAGTAACATTAATTGACCGCAAAAGAATTTCCTCCCAAAAAACGGAGAATCTTTTTTATAAAAATGCGCTAGACCCGAGCCATCTATCTTCGAAATAGCTTTCGAAAAGTTTCCGACAGCCGCACGCGTAGGTAAAATCTTTATAATTGGATACTACGAAAGCTGCAGCGTTTTGTTTTACACAAGTCATACTACGCCTCAACTATATTCGAAAAACGTTTATTAACAGTTGAAATAACCCTCTTATACTGATAGGTTGCTGAAACCACTGATTGCGCAACTGAACATAAACCATGAAAAGCATTTATACAAAGCATATATTTCTAAGCATTCAATTGACTTAAATGCTGATGTGGGATTTCTCAGTATAAAAGTTCTATATGATACGCTCAATTGAACAGTTAAACAAAATTTGCGACTATTTGTTGTCGGCTTTTGTGGCATACGATCTCATTTAATCTTGTGACCCAAATAAACTTTGCTCAAACGAAGGCCAATATAATTGAAAGTTGGAAAAGCATTGATCAAACAACATTATAGGACCAGCTCACTCATATAAAATATACCAAACTCTTCAAATTTTACATTAGTACCTCGAATTTGCATGGTTTTCAAGTGGATTCTACATTTATTGTCTGTCCATTTTAACCAAGTAGGAAATGTTCAAATAAGGGTCGGATAGAATGGCATAATGACAGATATATAATGATAAAGACACTTTTGCCAATGATAATGTTTTATTGTATTCTAGTAAAATTGAACTCACTTTTTAAAAGCGCACCGTTCATATTAAATACCTTGGTCTCAGCTCTGCACAATGCATAACCAATCCCTCTCAATGCAAATATTTCCGTCGAAAATGTAAAGAATTCAATAAAATATGGATGTAACACCATGCAGGAAAGCAAATATTGGATACGTTTAGTCCAATTCGTGAAATTCCAAATTTGTGCAATGTAGATTCGAGTGCATGTTTTGAAAGTATCTTAGTTTGCCAAGTACTTTCCGACCTTAAAAAATATATTCAACGAACGTCTATCATTAGGAATACTGCGATCACAATAGTTTCATCGACAAATCTATTCTGGGTAACATGCTGTATTTCAGTGGTTGATAATTCGCGCATTGAATGGGTTTTTCGTTTCAAATTTTTCCGACATTTCACTAAAGATATGTGACTATTTCGGCGATGCTACTAAAAAAATAAAAACACCTTTGGTTATATTCTCTTGTTCTTTATCAACGTTACGACGTATCAATAAGTCCTTCAAATTTAATCCGTTTGAAATTTTAATAAATTTCGAAATTCAAAACCTATTATATTCAACTATGATAACACGGTCCTGACTTCTTTTCCAGCGAAAATATTTCCTTTCCTATATAGAAGACTACAAAACGTTGACTATTTTTTCTTGCAAATACAAAAACTAAAGAAACACTTTCAAACAATTTAAATTTTATTGGTAGGATTGATTACAACGACGTCGAACTAGCATACGACAGCCATAACGATCGTTGTGAGTGAATATCGCAATGACGTGATTAACAGATTATAAAATTCCATGGGTTTTAGAAATTCACACTTCATTAGGTCTATTGTTGAATTTATGCGTAAAATCCGAAAAGGAACACCATAGTGGACAACATGATAGCACCAGCTATATTGACAATAACAGCAGGCCATTTTTCTTCATTGATATCCATCAATAGATCTGGAGGTGGCTGCTGAGATGTTGTCGTCTCTTCTTCAAAGCCACAGAAGAGGTCAAATCCTTTCCTAAAACAGGATTTTTCTTTTCCTGTTGATATATTAAAATTGAATATTCAAATTATACAATAGAAAAAAGTAGGAGTAATTTAAAAATAAGATGCAGCACAGAAATTTGGTGACCTTTTTGACCGATAATAGTACCGAGTTGGGTTTTCAATTTATTCAATATTATATCATAGTAGGCTTCAATGTTTAAATGTTTTATTCTCACTTCTAATAGGCACAAAATGATGCCTTGAAACATTTATAAACGAAATGCATATTTTTTCCTGAATATAATATTTTCTTCTGCTAAACATACTTGGTTGTGGATTGCTTTTATTTGTATAAACCGTATTTGGGTTTGCATACTCGTTCGTTTCGTATTCATCATAAACCATTGCATTATTTGTATATCCAGCTCCTTGTTTCTAAGCATAAATAAATTCTTCATTATAAATCAATACAAAAGTGATAATATTCGGTAAAACACTGTGAATTTTTTTTAATTGTCACTACGGGGAACGTAAAGAACACACATTTTTGCGAACTTATGCTGGCTCTCTCTTGAATATATTGTTGCACACAATACAAATTGTATTTTATCGTATTTAATACAGCGTAATATAATTCTTTATTGCTTTTTTGAATAATGTTCAATATTTTCTGTTGTAACATTAAATGTCGATAGTATATATATTGGTTGTTAATTATAGTCAGTAGCAGAAACCTACCAGGAGTCGGAACCGTTTGTAGAGGGCTGGCGTAGTGTATAACGTGACACCACATCCCTTGATTATCATCACAAAGTAGGCAGATTTGGTTTGTAAATATAAAGTATATATACTGGTAATTGTAAATATAAATTTGCTGCCCTACTGCCAACAAAAAATGTCAATAAGAACACCTTATCATGTTGTTGATCGGATCCATGAAGTTCAAATGTTGTATCGATGGGAATTCTCTTTCTTTTACTCATTCTCGACCACCATGTTAATCTATACAGCTATGAAAATAATGTCCAATAGGAAAATAACGGAAAGACGATTTCTAATGGTATAGGTATGCTCATACTAAAATAAATATCGAAAATCTGATATCACAAATATCGAATATATTTAAATATACTATACTATGTACCAAGTTACTTGTAAAGTTAATTGATATAAATTTTGTCTATTGAAATTCGATGTCCAAATACCTCGATCATTTTATGGGGATGCGTGCTGATGACAAATGCGGTGTATCGATACAGACCATTGAATATACGCAACTGAAGATTATAGTGTTGTTGAAACCCCGAAACAAACTGCTTTTATGTTATTTGCCGACGGTGGTCGTGGCTTTATTGGTTTGAACGCTACCACTAAATTTGGTATTTTAAAGCCTCCAAACACGCATGTTTTTTTATTATTATTTAAATATTTTCTGGCTCAATTTGAACTACCAGCAAACTTTTGCTAATTCAGTATTGCCGCTTTGTCTTAAAAATTGAGTTACATCAAAATTACTTACGTGTTTATTTGGTATTGGTGGAGTGCATAGGCTCACAACAATTGCAATAAATAAAGTGCATGCTGCAAGAATCAAAGCGAAATAGAGGTAGTGAACCTGAAAAAGTTCATCCTAGTTAAAGTCAGTAACCTAACAACTTACACTAAGAATGCAACTTTTGATTAATCTAATATTGGGAAGATTTGCCTTCACATTTTTGTCGTGCCACCAGTTTTTATAAATCAAATCATTAGGTGATTTTGTCATTCTACAATATATTGCAATTTGCCAGATGCCGACTTGCATAATGGTATATATAATGGTGTTTTCAGTTCTTGTATCCAAGTGTTTTGAACCGAATTCGTATCTTATAAATGCGTCTACATAGAGAGTTTCATCACGACATAGCAGGAATTTCAGAACAACAAAACAGATGATTTATCGAACCTTTCCAACAATAGCCGGCCTAGTATCTTCCTTGCCACAAGCTGGAGGTGAGTAGACAAAATCCAATATCATTCGAGTTACACCGATAATCATTCCGATCACCAGCGACCAGAAAGCGCCCTGAAGGAAAAAAAAGACTTGAATTATTTTTCTTCTTCTTTTTATCATTCAACAGAAAAAACAATGAATGAACGTTTGTTGAAAGCAACGGTTATAGAACTAAATTAATTCTATTCTTCAGCATTATAAATTAGGTTGAAGAATCAGAATTAAAATAAAGAATGGAAAGATAGATTTATAAACTTGACTTCAAACATAATTCACTTACCGGTTCATTTAACCGCGACCAAAATATAGCAGTAATGAATATAACAGCAATAGGTGGTCCGAGATAGCTGGTGATTGACTGAATATAGTCGAATAGTTGCCCGCTTGCTGCTGCTTGAACGATGGGTACCCATGCAATACTCACACCAACCATCACTAGAATGAATATTCTGAATAGAAATTGTCAAAAGTTGAAAATTTAACATTAGCAAGGTGAAACATTACTATCAGCTAGCATTCGACGTTTGAGGTATATAGTTTACCTGCATCAAACAAAATAGAATTAGCGAGAGATTTTATAGGACTAATGTTGTTATTTTAGTAAGATTTTACTGTTGTTTTTCAAATGAATTATATGAAAATAGTTCATTTAGTCTTCCTTAGAATTATACACCGTCATACCTTGTTTTTAATTACCCCAGTAAGAATAGTCGGTCCTTTGAAATAATAAGATTATAATAATAAGATCCTAACGAGAATATCGGTCAGAGACCGAAGACTTATCGATCGAAAGTTAGGGGATTCCCCAAAACAGAAACTGCGGTTTCGATTCGAAAAATTCTGCAAACCCGAACTGGATTGTTTTGATTAGTTTCCAGTCAATATCAGAAATGTAGGAAACAATAGCCAACTCCGCATGTCGTCGAAATACTACTCGAGGAAATACTTTTATGAAGAATTCTGCAAATCCGAACTGGATTGTTACGATTAGTTTCCAGCCAATAGCCTATTTCTGTATTTACCAATCCTATAGTTTGTGTCAAATACAACGGCGCGACGGCTGTTCAAACACAGCCTAGCGATATTTTGGTGAGGAATTCTGCAAACCCGAACCTGATTTAGGGATATGGACATTGCTTAAACTTTAAGGAGTAATTATAAGTAACGAGATACGATCTCGCGGCGTGTATCCTTCGCTCTGACTCAATAGTGTGGAAAATTTCTCGAAGGAAACTTGCGCATCGCGACGACGTCAAAGTTACAAGAGAGATATGGACAAGGCTCAAAGATTAATCACGAGATACGATCTAGCGGTGTGTATCCTTCGCTCTGACTCACTAGCGTGAAAACTTGCGCATCTGATACGCACACACACATTCAGCGCGTCTCGATTTGTGAAAATCCAGATCTCTTCATCACTAATTAATTAATAACTCGCTAATTATTCGACATAATTCATCCAAAATCAATAGGCTTCTGGTCCGAGATATGATGAATGCACATGCAAAATTTGGAGCAGATTCAACCACGCCTTCGTGAGATATCGCGTGCATCTAACAGACACACAGACAGACATACATACAGACAGACATACATACAGACAGACATACATACAGACAAATACCTATCAATATACTTACCGATCTTCAGATCGATAAGTAATAAGAGAGTAGACGCGGAGAATGAATTCCAATTTTGAGAAGCATTTCCCGGTGCATGCACAAAACAGCCATTTTGATGCACGCTGCTTTCGGACATATTGTTAAACACTACTTTTACCGTTAATTTCAGTAGTAGACGATCATACCTTCCCACAATCATTAGTTCTCGCTGTGAGGCATGTTTACGAATCCTCGTCCACACATCACAAGTGAAAAGAGTCGAAGCACTATTGAAGACTGATGTTAACGAAGACATCAAAGCTGCCATCATTACAGCAAGCAGTAGCCCTGAACAGTGAGAGTTTATTCCGCAAATAGTTGGACGAATTCTTTCATTTTATTTCAAAAGGTGAGAGACCGTTTCACATATGACAGACAATTTGAGCTACAGCAACTTCTGTTAGAACCTGGTGAGTGTAACCAGTCATAGAGTGTAACCAGTAATCCTAACCGGTTCGCTGATCTCATAACATTCCGTGAGACGGTTCTATAGAACCGATGCGAACCGACTAAATTCCACCACGGGTTATATGTATATCTAGTATTCAAAATATTTCATTGAACAATTATCACACTTTTTTTAGTTTAAAAAAAAAAAAATAGATGTGAGCGACACAAACCTCGTGCTCCTGTAGGCATAATCTCCAAAACGAGTTTAGGATAAGCAACATTGGTACATCCGACTGTTGTTCCACAATATTTCATACATTCCTCCGGAAGAACACAACCCACTGCGTCTGAAAAGTAGGATGAAGTCAATAACTGTGTTCTGAGTAAACTGAGTGAGTAAAAAGTAATCATAAGTTTTATTCTTACCAGTAAAAATAATTCGACTGATCATTCCAACCATAACCATCATATACATTGGCATTGCTTTGAGCAAGCCCGCCATAACACAACCTCCTTTAGCATGGGATAAATTTTCTGCCGCTAATGTACGCTGGACGATGACCTGAATAATAAGTAGAGAATTTTTGTTTTTTTTATTAATTTATATATGGAATCGCGACAGTTAGTCTCAGAAAAATACCGACAACTTTTAAAATCCGGAAAAAAAAGGCCAGAATAATGACAAAATTTAAATAAAGATTTTTTTCGTTCTAATTACCAAAAGTATGCAGATTGAATAAGTAGCATTACCTGATCTGTGCACCAATACCAGGTAGCCAGTATGGTCAGACCAAATGTTAGTCCAGGCCATGGAAGGTCTCCTGTAACTGGGTCTCTGAACACATGAAATGAATCTGCTCTCGGCTCGCCACATGTTGTGTTTTCCGGCCTCAGTGCAGGTATCGCCTGCATGTATTTTGGTTCAAGCTGATCATAACCGCCAATTCTATCGAAAGCTGAAAATTCGTATTTGACGCATTTAAAGCCTACATAAAACTCTAGATATGAAATTGTAACATATGTATTCAGTAATATTGCCCTGCTTCCCATAGAAAAATTATTCCAAACACGTAACACTTGGCTTTAAATTTTAAAAAAATCTTTCAGTAGTATAGTGCCAGGACTTACATAACACCATCATTACAATCGCTCCTCCCGTCATAACAAAAGTCTGAGCAGTGTCCGTATATATGACAGCAGCCAAGCCACCAGTGACTGTATATAAAGCAGTAATTGACAAAAGTAGCACCATAGCAAGATACAAATTCCAGCCCAGAGCTTCTTGGATGAAAATTGCTCCGGCGAATAAGTCAGCCTGTAGAAACATACTAACAAATAATTGATAAAACAAGCCGGTAGCCGACCAGGATCTCCGCTGATAGTTGAGACGCGCAGCTCCTAAATGAACTGGCCTTTTTGACAACCCGCTCACTTACTTAATCGCGCCGCTGTCGGAGATCCTCAAGTTTCTATGCATGTCATAATTCAAAATTCCCACTCCCGACCCGACTAATTTTGTGGACCAAGTCTAGAAGACTATTACAGTTCAATAGAATACGTTGCTTTATACCAATTGTTTTGGTAAAACTTGGTTCCACAGCAGAGCTAACTTCTTCAGCTTATTTTCAAGGAAAATGAAAGTGCTTTGCATTAACAATGGAAAAGTATTATTGATATTCCACGAAAGAGAGAATTCAACTTGATTCAATTCATCCAATTTGATGATCGCGCTTTAAAACTTATTCATAAGAAATGAACGTACCGATATCTTTGTGAATATGTAAAGCAGGAGCGACAAAACCGATAAATACATCTGAATTCTTTGCCCTCCGAATCTTGCTTTTAAATATTCAGGCATCGTGACAACACCAGCAGCAATGTAAACAGGTGCAAATATCCATCCGAGAAAGAAAAGCGTGAGCATCGCCTGAGAGCAAGAAGTAAATATTACTCATCTAATTGGAAATGGTTTTTACGTTCTGTCGATCTTCCGGTATCTTTTTCCGGTAATTGAAATTGTGAGAATTTGGCTTATTTTTAAATATATATATATTGCTTTTCTGATTTCTTTTATTGCATTGCTGCAATTTTTTGGGTGTATTTGCTATTTCGATTGTTATGTCAGAGACAGAGTAATCAAAGTACATTCCCCTAACTATTTACATTCTCAATGTAAACGAAGAAAAAAATCTTTGTAGGTCTAATGACACTGATCCGGAACATATGAACATTTTTTGCGCAACAATATTGGTTAGTTTTAGATTTTCATACCTATTAAACACTTGAGTTAAATAACTTTTACTTTTATAGTGGCATAGATCGTACTAAGAAAAGATATATCAAAGACAATGCCTACATTCCATTCGAATGCACCGACAGCGATTCCTGCTGCTGCTCCTGTTCCTGCTAATCCAACGAAATGTCCACTTCCGATGTTACTGCTGAACAATGATGCCCCAACGGGAAACCACGTGATATCCCGACCAGCGAGAAAGAATCCGTCGACATTTCCGCGATTCGTTCGGCACATTGCCTAAAAATGATCGTTTGGTGAAGGATATAAAATGAATGGAGTGAAATATCTTATCGGTATTCGATTCGACAAGCCAAAAAATCTGGTCAGTTTCAGATGAGAAAAATAGCGCACAGAAAGGTGGATGCGGGTTTTAATGAAGATGCCCTGTCAACTAGAAATTGACAATCAAACAACAATAACCCAATAAAATTGAATGCTCACCCATATTCCAACGGCTAAAATGAATGCAAAATAAACACCGATGACAACAAAATCCCACGTTTCTAGGTTCACGTCCGGTAACAGGGCTGCCGTTGTTTCAGCTTCGTTACTCGCCGTTGTCATTGACGCCATGTCGTCCGTAGAGTATTTCAATAGGCTATAGTATAATTAGATAATATGAACAGTACAGAAAACTTAGTGGAACAAGAAATAAGTTTGATTGAATTTTTGTGTAATGGATTTTGATATACACTATACAATTGTTCTCCTTGTTAAACTTTGCTGGTACGGTATGAATCGTCTTGTTTGGAATCCGAATAACGTTTTCTCGACTTCTTTCAATTTCAATGTGCGACTACCGCGCCCACAAATATGCTCATCTAAAATCCGGATCCAGTCGGATCTGTAGTTGTGTTATACAAACCGGCAAGAAAATAGTTTGAGTCAAATTTATCCCAATTCAATTGCCGATTTCATTGCTTTAACGATATACTTTTCCGATAACCGGACCAGGCCTATTTGTAGTATTCAAACAGGCTTCTGTTTATTATGTTTGCTGACTTTTGATAGAATTTTGAAATTTTAAACACTGTGATTGTTTGATTATCGTTTTACGTCTGAATTGTTCTATTATACATAAAATTGCACCTAAACTTTGACAAAAGAATTTTTTTATTGAATATTGGTCTGTGCAAACACTGCCATGAATGTAGTTTTAGACGAAGGTGTCGACGTTTTGTATTACATGAGTAAATCTATCAGAGCATAGCATTTAATCGTGTTCTTTCATTCAAATATCCAAAGATATCACTGTTTGCTGAGTGGCCTGTGCCCTCACGTCTCAACAATATACTGTATAGAAAAAAAAAAAAATAAGGCTATTTCTATGGCAATGGACTTTCCTCCCTCCCTGCAACATATTGACATATATTTCAACTCAAATATAGGAAACTGTCAGTGAGTTTATAAGTTATCCAACCGGATACCTAGCACTTCGATTAGATGGGTGCATTGAAGTGGACATTTATTACGCGGTCTCACAAATACAAACACTTGACGTCATAGTATAAAATGTGGCTGGCGTCATAAGCCCTTTCGAAGGTAATATTAAATGTCCATGATCTGTTAGATATTCATCGAATATTACTAGATGACGTAACAAGTTTATTTCACAGCAGGCCATTTTCATGCAGTCGTAGTAGTACTGTCCACTTTTTATTCTGAAATACAGTACACCTAAAAATCATTACGTATTTTAAAACATTTTTTTACCACAAATTCCAACCACTGAAAAAAAACGAAACTGTGTCGTTGTTGACACGCTGATGTAATATCTGCAGTAGTACCACCTCTTACTTACTCCAAGCTAGAATACTGACAGCAGCCCATGAATTCAGTCAATATTTAGTGGAGTTGTTAATTCCACCCATCCATTGTTCGTAGTCCTTGATCAATGGCTGTAACTTTTTTGTGAATTTCACTAAAAGGTAGACCGCAGTTTTATCGTTTATTGGATGTTATACAATGAACAAAATGTATTCTCCCACATGTAACAACTAGGGAAGGGCAATTCAAAATACGAGGGATTCATACCCCAAAGTACTGTATCCGATAACGGAATTCGGTTTCTGTTTTCACGGCACCTTGCGTCGAATCGTCCTTGTTAGACTATGCTTGCTCGCAAAGGACACGTTAAAACGGAAGACATCGAACACGATTAATATCAGCCAGCGAGTTCCATCCAGTTAGCATATACTAATAATTATTGGAGCCGCGAGCGACGAAATGGCCGTGCATCTAATTAATTTTAAGCGAGTGTGCTTTAGTACAATGTGCACTCTGACAATATTAGTTATCAATGCCGTTTGATATATATTTTTGTACCCTACCGCTTACTATTGAAGCGTACAATGGGCTCTAATTCGGCATATCAGTATTTAGGGATTACATAATTTATTTGAAATTTAGGTGAAAAAATAGAATATTGTAAAAAATATTAAATATCACCCTGGGTAACTATTGTTTGATATCAAATAAAATCCAATACACGCATTTCAATTAACTACAAAATCACTAAAACATTTACAATTTTGCTTCTTGAAAATTTTAATCTAGTAATAAATAGGGTGGTAGAATTCCTATTGATGTATAACCATAAAAACTGAATGGGATTCGGAATACTGGATCCGATTTAAGCATTCCAGAATAGTAAATTATTCTGAATTGCCCATCTCTACTAATATATATTAAGCGTCAGAATTGTAGTTTGCATCTCTTTGCCCTTTTTCTCCAGCCAAAAAGCACCAGACACAAGCCAGAAACTTATTTAAAATCCCACTGGACAAAACAACTACTTGAGAAAAATCTAAAAAGTATAATTTAGAAATGATAATAAACAAGATTTTGCAAAAAGTTTTACTCATTGGACTAAGCAACATAACTACGATCGTCATAATTAGCACTGCTAATTACCAAATCTGATTTCAAAATACGAAAACCAAGAAAAAAAATAATGTGAAAAACAAATGTTGCTGGATTTCTCACATCAGTGTAGTTTACCAAACCCGGTGGCTGGTCTACCATCACGATCAATCATTGTCAAAGAATCTGGAAAGATTACCGTATCCTTTTTTACTTCTGATATTAACTCAATATTAATTTAACTGAATCAATGTATTTTAGAGAGACAATGGCAATAAGATCAAATTTTTTGACTAAAGCAATAAGGTGCAAAAAATGGGATATATAGAACTAGATTAGTGTCCAAATTGAAGATGCAACACTCGTCTGCCGTGAGAGTCAACATGAACATAATAAAGCAATACGTTACAAAACGTGGTGATGACGGTTAAAGCAAGAATACGTCCAGCGCAAGTCTTTTGTCATACCAAGAAGCAACAAAAACACAATGCATACATAAATGAGTGGAAAAAAAAATGAGGTGGAAAAATAAGAATTTAACAAAATATTACATTTACACAAAGTAAGCTACTTATCAAATCCAAAATATTGATTAGATAAAGAAAATTGAGCACAGGCATCTTTAGAAATGTTATAAAGTTTCTCCACGCTTCAACCGTGCTATTCACTCAAATTTGCAACAGTTATTGTAGAACTGGTCGATTTTTTACTAACACTGCTGCCATTTGAAGCTTCTGCAGTATGTTTTCGCTTGTTTGTTCGTGATGATACATTGCTTTTAGTTGATAATCCTTCAAATTCGTTTTCTAAAATTAATATTAAAATGAAAAGCTAGGTTTGGAAATAGCATCTTTGGAAAATATCAATAGTTGTTGAATGGAGTAGGGTCAAAGCATCATTCCAAGCTTTAAGGTTTTCGAAAAGCTTGGAATTGCTGATAGAAAATTCTGTGACTCAAATCACAAAACAATATTTCTAATCCCTTTCATTTCAGTAACAATTGCATCAATATATTGTTCTGATCAGGTAAAATTTTTGGTACTCCCGTAGTGTGTGTACCAGGGGCGGGTTAGGACATAATTTCATTCTGATTTTTCTTATTTTAGTTCTATTACGAGTTCGGGGACTGTCCGTGTTAGCCCATACGTTTCATTCCCTTTACACATCTTGATGTAACGTAGGTGAACAAAATTAGATACCTCCATATTGGTACACACACTTCTGGAGCACCAAATTTTGTACTTACCACTTTCAGTCTCAGTTTTTATTCGAATTAATTCTGGTGGTCGCCGTTCTGATTCACTAGTTGATCTGAATGGAAAAATTAAAATTGAGCCATTTCGTTCTTATTTATCCCATTTGATGCTTTTTCCATTACTGACCCTTTAAAATCGATTGAAACAATTCGTGGAGGTGATAGACCAGATGACTGGCTAGGTGTCGGCTTTTCAATTCCTGTGACGTCGTAGTTTTTGTCACCATTCACACTGTTTTGAGAAGATGAATCGCTTGATGAATTTGGTCGTGACCATTGTGTAGAAGAGTTTGGTAAAGATTGGAGATTACCAAAAGATATATTGTGAGCTTTAGCAAGATCTGAATATAAAGAAATTCAACCGATTACGTCATTTCATTGAAGCCTATAGTAATAACATACGAGTGACAACTTGTGCTTAATCATGTTGCTATGTGATCATTATCAAGCACAAAAGAGTGAACCAAATTATGACAATTTTTTCCCAGCACTGTTGCTCAATACAATCCCCATTTCCTTTCATTGACTTCAGCCGATAGTTTTACTTCAACCGCACTCCACTTGACGAAAATTATACCAGATATTACTATATGCTCACTCGTGAGTGAGTTTACTGCCATCAAGTAGTTACTCATGACCTTGACTCAATTTTTTTTCGTTTATATAATAATAATATGCACAATGTAACAATAGGGGTCATTATGACATTATTTTCATTGATATTTTAAACAGAAATTTATATCCATAAAAACTATAGTCGTAGTTTCAGCAGACACAAGTGGGCCGGATAAGACACTTCGATGGGTCGTAATTTGGCCACCACTGGCTTAGATAAACATGAGACTAAACAAAACATATAAACTATTAACCTGCCAATTCTGATGAAAACGTAGTTGATTCCATTTGTACCGAAGATGAAGATCGCTGTAATTTAAATAGAAAATTACACAAATATAATTGCCATCAGGCATAAGATAATCCAGTAAATGTATACCACAGGAAACCAACGATTGTTTGTTATTTTGATTTGAATAGAATCATATATATTATTCTGGCCTTAGATATATACAGTGACAGCAAACCCTTTTCCAAGGTAATCAAACCAGACATTCAAAAATAAGAACTATAAGAATAAGGCTAACAGTAAATATACTCAATTTCTCACAAAATCAAGATCCCAAGATAACTCATTTATGATGCTGCTTTGCTGCCATTATAGGGTTACCCCAATAAATAAACCTAAAGCTGTACCATTATCACACAACCTTAACTATGTTTCAGTGTGATTTAGGCATGATTGAACTTTTTTTGCAAAAATATTTAAAAAATAAAAAACATGGAGGTTATGTAATAATATACTTCTCTGTTTTCATTTTGCAATTTCTCCGATAGTTCGTTTTTTTCTTGTAATAAAAGTATTTCTTCTTTTGCAAGTTTTGCTAGTATATTCTGAAAATAATATTGTACATTCATTTTTTAACTAGTTAAATAAATTTGTTTGATAGGGAGGTACCAAATATGGGTTAAGATTTGCATTATTCCTCGACCTTACAAAACATCAAAAACCATATTTAGAAGAAGAAAATTAAAGGGGATAAAGAGACAATTCGCTGGAAAAATTGATAAAATGAATCTAGCAAACATAACAAATCTGAATAGACAATGTACCAATGTACAACGAAGCACACTAAACAGCACAAAATTCAAATTATATAAAGCACCACAGATGGTCATTTGTATACCTTTACTGCTTAATAGAATACCGCTATTTCCTTTATTTGCATGGCCTGTAATTTCAATACCATCCTGAACTAATAAATGAGAACAACCTTGCAAACCGCACATAAAAATTAACTTCATCTAATAACCTAAAAAATACCAGCAAGAGCAAAACTGTGGGAGATTCCAACTATCTGCATTCAAAAACGATATTTGAGACAGGAAACAGATGACAAACATACATATGCTCAATTTACAACTAATAAGGAAGTCTTAAATTCTTACACAACTATGGTGAGGCATGCTGAAAAAATATGGTTGCTTGTCAAATGCTTGGTCTATACACGACATGTTTCGTAAACTATATTGATTACCCTGCGTGCTGTATGGTAATAGATATACAGTATCAGTGTTTTTACTGAAAAGTAGAATGGCTCGTATCATATTTGAGCATTGGTCCCATGCTAGAGTGTATACTGTATAGCACTGCATATTGATACCTGTTTATTAAATAACGCCCAAACCTGTCTACCACTCATGTTTTGTTTCAGGTCTTTCCAAATGAGCAAATTGATCTCTTTGGCTGCACCACTGCTCTAACCTGGAAAAAAGCTTTGCCTTTACATATCCTGAATCCTAATCTGCCATCTACCATTGAAAGGCTAAAATTCATTCAAACTATTCTAAAGTAAACACCACTTATAACCGCTCCTGCATTGGAATTTTCAGTAAAATTGATATTACCATGAAATTGAACATAATTGCAACTATTCTCTTGTGTTGTTCTATCAAGAAGTTTAGAGAAATATGTATACAAACCTGACAATCATTTTCCTTGATGACATTTTTATTATTTTGTGCATCTGATATTGTTTTATGCAAATTTGATCTTTGTGATTTGATGTTTTGAAGACGGTCGTTGACTTCTTGTATTCTAGACTAAATGAATGAAATATTAAATCACATTAAAAATTATTATTAACACCAAACACATTGCTAATAATCTTTAGGAAAACTATAGATAATCACCTCATATTGCTAATTTCTAATTGGGCAGAAAATTTCATATTGCTCCATTTTAGAACTTCAACTACAGTGATTAGAGCGTTGAGCCTAACTATGTCAGCATGGCAGGTTGATACATATGGTTCAAATTTCATGCTCACCAAGTGTGCAATGAATTCGATAAGTAAGAACTGAAGAAAGGTTCAAGGTGTAATGGGTTCTACAAGCAATAAAGAACTGGATTTTGATCCTTCCAGGCATATTAATCGCTTACATTTTAGTGACCGTTTATCCAAAGCTTTGTTTAGAGTTGTGACTTAAAAACGCTTCATATTAAGCACAATATATGCGATTCAATCCACATAACTTTAGATCAGTCGAAATCCAGAGACCTAGCAACCAAATTTAGAAGCTCGTAAAATACGATGCCAAAGTAAACATACAAGTAAACTTGATTCTGAATATAAGTTACATGAAGCCCATACCTGACTACAGCTACCATGCAGATGTGTTGACGATCGTCGTCTACTGGAAAATAAAAAATAAAATCGTTACAATTTTGTAACAAAAATTGATAATGTTGAAGTTTCGAGATAAGATGTAGCTTACCTTGGTGCTTTTTTTTCAACTTCCACTGCCACTTTTTCAGCTATTGCCATCAACTCATTTTTCTTTATTAAAAATCTGTTATCTGCTAGACATAGTTTGACTGCGGCATCAGTTACGAGAATCTGAAATTTTACATTTAAGAGATATGTCGGAGTAATTGTGATGTCAATAGTCATGATTGTCAATTAGTCAAAATGACAATTTTTAAATAAAAATATTCTAAATTTGGCATAATAAATATAACAGGTTTCAAATGTATTCGATTCATTTTGGGCATCACTGCTTGAGGTGAATTGTTTTTCCCATTATTAATCTTTTTCTTGTCATTATTTTTAAACTAGTGATGGATATTACTTAGTAAAATTACAGTCATTATTGAAATCAATCACATTCATAACTAGAGATGAAAAATCTTTCAATCTGATAAATAAAAGACTATTCAAGCGTCTCTAGGGAAATAAGCGCATCTACTTTTCAGCGTGACAAATAGTGGATTTATTTTAAAGAAGGAAAAAGTTGTCTCAAGAGATTTTTATAAGGAATATATAGAAGAAAATAAGGAATCTGCTCGGGTACAACTCCCAAGAGAGAAAAGCTTCTGTAGGAAAAAATATAGAGCATCCTGCAACAGAGGTAGCTGTGTGTAATGAAGTCATAAAATATTGATGACATTCTGTGTATTCAATATTGCTTGCCATTTGGATGTACTGTTGGGAATTGTTCTTTATAAAACAAAAACCAAGGTACCCTTGAGTTCGTTCTTTAAATATCCATATTCATCTTGCCACAATACCCGAGAGAATGTGAACATCGTAATTAGGCATGTCTCATGAGAGTTAATTTATAAGGCGGTGTGGGAAGCATGTGTTTTTGTATACTACTCTGTAAAAGGTATTTTGAGCTTAATGCTCTTGAGATTACGCAGATCTGGATATGGCAATGACAAGAGTTCATGCATACATGACATATCAACAAGACATGAACAAAGAATTCAATTTTGAGACCTTCAAAATAATAATATTCACGGTCAATATTGTTCATATTTTGTGATTATTTTCAGTCTTTGCAAAAAAATCACTACTTTCATGATATAAATTTTGGCTTGGACACCAGTGCTATCCATGCAAAACGAACATTATACAACTAATATTCTTTCATAATGAAGAATCTTAATTCTTGACAATTTTATTCAATGAAAAGAAATATGAACTGAATTTTTATCAAACATATACCGGTAATCAACTGACAAAGCATGGATGCTATGTGAAAGAAATACTAGAGACACAAGGGACTGTCCTCAGGTCTTGTAACGTATTCCCTAATTTTTGTTCGATTTAACAAGGTGTAGAAGTGTACAATAGGAAATGATTATCTGTAATACTTTCGCGTTTGTCAAATCCAAGTTTGTACTTCTCAGATGTTTCGGGGTTATCTACTAGATAAAAGTAAAGCGGCATTTTATCTGACAAAAATCACACCTAGTCAAATTTAATCATTTTTGAGATGAGTTGAAAGAGATTGAGTCCAACAAGAAAAAAAGTCCAACAAGATATATTTGATTGTTTTTAACAAGTGCGTATAACTATATGCAATATTCTATACACGAAAAAAAATCTATAATCTCCATGACATAAAATCCCAAGTGATCTATCAATATTCCTTTTTCTATGATATGGCAATTACCTCATGTTCAGACATATTATCTGACGTCCTTGTACCCTTTATGTATTCCCTGATTAATACTTCCATTCTAGGTTTATTATGGTTTTCAATAGCATGCGCTAAATCTCGACAACTTCTATCCTCCTGAATATAACGAAGAATTAATATATATTATTTTTATCTAGTCCAGAATTAAAAATGAAATTTAATTAATATTTATACCACTTTTCATTACTTTCTTCAAATAGTAAAACAAAACATCTGAAATCAGACATGAAAATGCTGAAAGGGTGAAATTGAGAAAATGATAATTCTTATCAAGTTTTTTCTTGAGAAAGTTAAAATTAGAGAGAGAGGAAGAGTGATTCCACATGTTGGGACGAACATACCTTTAATTGTGATAAAAGATCTTTCTTTTCCGATGAAGAAATTGTGGCAGATTTAATATATTTATGCACAGCATGATTCAGTATGGTTGACAAAGTGCCTGCATCACTCATCTGGAAGATTTTTATGAAAAGCATTTCAAAATGAAACAAGATCAGACAATATCATACACACAAATCAATAGCAATCCTCAGACATTAGTAAAGTTGCTATATGGTAATATAATAGTTTGGTTATTGAAAAATTATCATCTTTATCAATTTTTTTCATCAAAGCATGTGCTGACACCTATATAGTATTGCTGCGAAAAATAACAAAGATCCTAGGAATTTACAACTGAGTTATATTTAACTAGGTTGAATCCTTTATTCAGGAATATCAAAAACTACCGTAGGTAAAATATCACATACATGATTTTATTCAATGTACATATTACAACAATTTGAACAAAAATTTATAAATATATATTATTACAATTCACAAGATGAGCTCCTACTCATATTTCCCTTCTTGTTTGACTGTTATTTTAACTTCATATACAATTCTATTAGCAAGATGACAAACCTCTGCATCATCAATATCTCCTGTGCCATTAACTTTCCTTGAATTGTTGTCTATTCTAAACACGTTTCCGAATCCATTCATTGATTTAGGTGACGTCATGGCAGATCCACCAACGCTCTTAACATAAAAAGTTGATCGATTTCACAGTAGAACAGGAAAATGATGTTTATACATTTCGAAACGTAAATGCAATGTTACTTTCGATAAATCGTTCTCGATATCAATGTAGAAAAATGAAATATAAGTTATATAAGAAATATTAAAGTCAAAATATTTAAATAAATTGGCAACGAAAATATTTTGGATATAATATGAGAATAAACATATACCGACTATAGTAAAATTTAAAAAATTCCAGGTAAAAACTCAATTGATATAAAACTAACTTCTAGCAACCATTAATAGAATTCACGAATTATCCCATTAATTTTAACTTATTAATACTCAATATTCACCAAAAATTATTTCATCCCAATCACAACAAAAATCTGAACAATTTCTCAATTGCCAAAAAAATTTCAATTTGAACTTTTCTTAATTTGACATGTATTATAATTCCTGAATGTTAAATATTTGAGATATTGAAAATAACCATAAATTTGTGGATAAAGCTGAAAAGCATAAGCAGTCCATTTTGTTGAATATGATTGCCATTTTCTTTAAAGCAATATGATATATACCAAATAGAGGATCGAAATTTTAAGAATATTGATTGAATGTGGTATGGTTCATTTCTGATAATGCAAATATAGCAATGGTGAAAGCAATTCTTTGTGACATCGAGAATTATAGAAAAGTGTTAGCAAAATTGAAAAACACACGCACATATCAACAAGGATTGACAAAAAACCTAATAATATTGATCATATGAAAATGGTGATCTTTTTCAAATATAATCACATCACAGAGATATTCACAAAATTTGGCTCTATCAACAAAAAAGTTATAGCAATCTAACGAATTAATCTGCAATTAAAAAAGTTTTACCAGTGGTCTGTTTGAAAGTTCATCTTGTCCCGGGAGAGCACCGTTAGTTTCTCTTGCAAAACCGGGAGAGGTGGCTTTATTAGGAATTGTAATTGACATTCCTGCAAGATCTCTAGCATCGATTCCAAGTGATGTTAATGGAATACTTTGAGCAGGAAGATAATTGATCTTTCATAGAAAACAAGATAACTTTAATAATACTAAAAATGTGAAGTTATATATTAAAGAATTCAAAGATTGTGATATGTGTAGTGTATATAAGCACAGATATGAAATAACCTAACTAAAATAGATAAGGAGAACAAATTTACACTTTGTATCAAACAAATAAAATCTACATATATGGATTTTCAGATCACAATTAGTATATTATTAAGCGCATATTTTACGACTTGGGCTATTTTCAAGATAACTAAAGATGCAAAATCTTGTAAAAAAAATAACTGCTCGGGATAGAGATAGAACGAATTCAATTTTTCATCTGGTATAAGGAAATGTGAACTAGATAACTTAATAAATTGGCAAATTGCAACTGTTATAGGTTGAGATTGGACTGTAATATCAGCTACCAACTTCAGCATTATATATGAAAATGGCCGAGAAAGAAAGATAACATATAAAAAAACAGAGTTAGTGCTGTTTTTATCACGATCAAGAATCCAATCCAACAGTTGCTACTCGTGACAACGAATGGATTCTTGTGCCTTTCTAATATTTCATAACAAATGTGAAGCATAAAAATTTTAAAATATTGTTCAAAGAAACATACACTTGTTCCTCGGAATATAGCAGGCCGAGTAACCCATTCTTGAAGTGCTTTTTGTAATCTTCTAACATGCAATGGTTTGCAAGCCATTCCAACCAATGCCATAATTTCAAGAAATTCTTCTTCTCCAGCTTCACAAAGTTGCTGCACATCATCGCCACCTAGATTTGTGGTCGATAATAATTAGTTGAAATACAAAAGCACTTTTCATAAAATCAAATTCCGTTTATATGTTCATAGTGGTTTTGCGATCATGATGAATCTACAGTGATAAATTTAATAGTTAATATTGGAAAGATAAAGAAGGGGGCAGTGAGTTAAAAGTACAAAAGTTGGGTCTAATTTAGTTTAGTTTCACAAGTACTTCCAGCGGGCGTAGCATAACGAATTTTGCATATGTTATTCCTAACCCCCACCTGACTATGCCATCCAAAAATTATGTCACTACGCTGTCACCATCACGTCATATGGCTTGCCAGAGTATAATTACAATCGCCCGAAATGGCATCTGCACCGCCGATAACAAATTCGCTAAAGCCGGCGATCTCTCTGTTATCCTGATCGTTGTGACGATAAACGAAAGAAACAACTTGCTCGATTTCGAGTGATCCCCTGCGTGTTTTAGACAACCATCTGTATATTTTGGTGGGCCTTATTACTCCACTGCGACGTCGAAATGACATAATTTTTCAGTGACGTAGTCAGGTGGGGGTTAGGATTGACATATGCAAAAATTATTGAGCCAGGCCAACTATAAGTGCATGTGGTACTAGACTATACCAGACCCCAAAAATTGACTGTAAGCATAAAAATAATCTTCATTATAAAAAAAAGGCGGAAGCTCGGGTGGACCCGGTGAATTTATTGCAAGCACAGCATGTGGGAATATTTTAGACTATTATTTGTATATTGTGAGAATTGTAAGTTTAACATTAGTAGTTGGTGATTTTATAATGCAGTACCGTATGGTACAGCCAGACAGTACAGTACCTGCAGTAATGCAAGTTGTTTGCACACTGGGCAAACACATGACAAAATTTTAAATATTAGACTAACAGCCTGGCAAAATTTGATGAATTGTATATTCACTTACCTTGTGAAATAAATGTTTCGTAATAGGATAACAGGTTCGCTCGCTGCAACACTTTGAACAATTGCAACTCTCCTAGCGTCGACGGCTTTGTAGAACTCATGATTACAAAGCCTGTGGAACTACGCAGTCAAATCGGCAACCTACTACCTCAAGTTAAACTTCCTGGTTTGTTGATGTTTGAATGGAAAGTTAAGATAAATAAAGCGAATGCAAGACCAGCGGAATCACTCCAAGCACGACAAAACGCACAACTAACCTGCGTCGCATCTTTGATCGGATGACACCACTTATGGATGAGACATCCCGGATCGATCAAGAGAAGAAGGGAATCACAGAGAAAAGTCGGCGTCAAAACAACCCGCGTGGGTCCTCGTTGCGATCGCAAAACATTTGACAGATAGAAAGACAACTTTTAAATTAGATTGTCCATTGATAAGAAATGAAATTGAAAAGTAGTCGGTTTCAAAAATTAGTCTGAAACTGTAAAATAGCTCAATAGAGTGATGGTTTTGAAGTGCGATCTGTAACATGAAATCTAAAATTAACGAGGGATGGCAGGCAAGAGCCAAAACCATGGTCACAACTTCAGAACTTCCATCACTCTACGTTGTTTGGCTTGGAGTTTCAAGTGGTTCCTCGGATCGTCGGGGTAAGTAGTCCCGCATATTAACTACATAGCTCTGTTAAAGGATCTTGGTGATTATTTTAATGGGGCGTAGGCTAGTTCTTGCTTAGCCTGAACAAAGATTAAGATATTTATTCGAACCACTCCTATGGCTGTATCGGAAATCTCAATAATACTGTCTGACTGTAATATAAATACAGAAATATGGTATTGGGTGAAGTTGTATTATGAAGTTTTGATTGTATATCAGCATGTCTATAGCTCTCAAATCAGTTTGATTTTATTCTTCTCAGAGTTAGCATATACGGTTAATTACCTCAATAACCTGATAATGTTAGACTATAACGCGCGTGCTGATTTTATTATACTTTAATTTGTGCTATTTGTACTGCCTTGCCTTCTTCGGTTTTTATTCATTTTCTATATTGAGCCCGGTTACGTTATTGTGGTAGGCCTAGATCACAGTGCAGTATAGAATATAATTTAACCCATGTCCTCCGAACTCATAATTCTGCTATAAAGTGTCGGATCATGGAACAAAATTTTCCGCCGACTGATTTTCTATATTTTTTATAGTTATATTGTCGCAACCAATTCTGACAGTTTATTTACAGCTTAAATACAATGGCAAGGAGCCTTGATGACCTTCGACGGTCTTGCATACTGACCTGCGCAAAACAATGCGTAAATTGGGTAGGCCCCTACTGTATTTCTATAAGAAATTTAGCATTATTTTATCTTGTTTTTTAAACCTTGTTTTATGGAAATAAATCTTTTTCTCATATCCTACTCTAAAGGTATAAAAAGATAAAATTTTCGAAACAACTTTGCTATGGGCAACTGGGTTGACCGTTGTACAATTCCAACTCCGCTAGTAATGGAAATCACTAGGGCATGACTGATCGATTGTTTTATTTCAAATCGCTTATGACTCAAATTTATTGAAATCACACAAGGGAAAGGGTACAACAGGCACAATGGTATTTGAAAGGAAATGAACCATTTTATAATGATATATTCAAAAATTCTTAGGCCATGTCACACCCAGTAAAATTGTGATGTTACGCTGCTGCCTTGACCCGTTGTTATTCTGCAGGCAACACTTTAGTTTACAAGGCCGAATACAGGATATCATAATATCATCAATTTTGCATCTAGCTAAATCTTTACTTCGTTCATGTGATTCATAATACCAT